CAGAGTTGTGTGATATTTGGTTGAGAGATGTTGAAATGCTGCCAGTTGAAGGATGTTGTGTAAATCATGAATGTGTTCAAGTCCTACTGCTATCATATGCATCGCTGTGTTCTGATTTTGTGAAAGGTTTGGAACTCAAGCAACACTAGCGCACTACGATCCGAAATAGGCTTTCTCCAGAAGATGCAACTTGGCTGGGAGGTTTCAATTTGGAGTGTAGTTGGATGCCTGTTTGCCCAGACCTAACCAAAAGCTTTTCGAAAGCGTGTCATGATGTTCTGATTTGCTGAACCCAGGTGTGGCCATCCAAATATCAGTGCCCTTCTAGGGGTGTGGCTTGGTTGCGGTGCGATTTCATCAGGCTGAGATGATGTGGTGCTTGTCATATCAGTGTCATGTGAAGGTGTGATATCCACAGATTCTGAGTGTTGAGATTCTGTGAGTTGGGAGATGAGAGTATGGCACAGAGAACGCAATGGGTGACAGTTGTCGAACTCTGTCCCGGTGGCGACTTGCTTCTCGCCGACAGTCTTCTGAGAGATCCGCGGAATTGCTTCGCGAAACCAAAGTGAGACCCAAGATGGTGCGGAACAGGTCCAAGGTAGATAGAAATCACTTCGTTCTGTGTGAGGAATCGGGCTTTTCTTTACAAATCTTGAAGTTTGCTTGTGTCTTTGCATAGCGTTGGTTGGATTGACATTGACCTTGAAATCAACTGAGGTTCGATTTGGTCTCTGATGTCGCACCTGGGTAGCAGAAGCCGCAGATCTTGTGCTCCTATTGCCCTTTGGAATCTTGCTGCTCGATAGTTTTTTTGAATGAGGCTATCCAACAAGAGAATGCGATGCAGATCATGATTGGCCTATTCTCCGCTCTGATCTATATTTGTTCCTCGGAAACTGAAGCGTTGGGGCTGTGGCGCAACTCATGCGTCAGTGATGTTGCCATGTTGAGCAGACTGAGCCTTCTTGTTACCCAAACATGCCCAAACTCCATCATTCGTCACAATTTCAGGTTCTTAGATAGATAGATTCTTAGACCACCTAGTTGAAACGGAATGCAGCGCCAGGACAGCAGTGCTGTCTAAGGCATGCTGGCAGGATCCACAGAGAAGCTCGGCGAAGCTGCCAGATCTGCTTCCTCCATAGGATAAAGGTAATGCGGGTCCAAGGGTGAGGAAAATGGGAACATGACCTGAACATACCTGAGCCACGAATCTTGCAGATATTTCAAGCACACAAACCCAGAAACGTTCAATACGTTCAGATATTACTTAAAATCCATTCTTGGCAGATTTTGGTGTTACATCTCCCACATGTTCTTTCCACCAACCTGGCAGCTGAACAAAATCAGGATGTGAAGGCGGAGAATGTGGTCCTTCATGGAGAGCGAGCGGTCCTGATCGATTTTGGCTTTGCTTCATGGCATGGGATGAAGCGACCATTCATGGCCCATGTTTTTTTGGAAGGCTCAAGATGATGGGAGGCAAATGCGGATCTGTTTGTTGAACTTTCTTTTTTAATGTTGTTGAAACAAAATATGAGAAACTCGAATCTCGCGGATCAGCTGTCCAAAGACCCTTCGTTGAAATTCTTGCCAGTTGGATCCTCGGACTGTCTCTGAGGCTTGCAATATGGATGGTGAAGTGGCGATGAGGAAACGGGTTGGATCACCAGGCTACGTTGCGCCGGAGATTATTATGCACAAGCCTTACAACGAAAAAGTCGTTTGCTCAAATGAGACCCATGTGCGCAAAAAAAATAACTCTGCAGATTTGGTCAAGATTTGAATAATTTTGAATAATTCTGAATATGTTCAGATCGTTTTCCCGGTCCATGTGACGAGTTGGGTTGATGTTTTTGATATCTAGATTGATGGGTCGATTCGCCGTTGAGACCACAATCGCCACAATAAGCTGCAGCTTGGGTCGGTCTCAGAATGGGGGATACCATGGGCCCGAATTTGGTTTTCCTATGGTAACGTGTGGCTGTTTTCATCGGGAAAATGGATGGTAGTACCATGGTGGATCATGGTGGTTTCCATTGGATTTTAGAGTTCCAACGGACTTGAGACTGCCCAAAGGTTGATGTCTTTGCAGCTGGTGTCATTTTATACTTCATGCTACGTGGCAAGCTACCATTCTCTGCCGAGACGCAGGACGCAACTCTGGAGCTGCTTGATCATGATTGGAACATATTGGAACATATTGGAACCAACTACATCCAATTACATCAACGGATCAGATGCATGGATTTATCTGCTGTAGGAATCGGATGCGATGCTGCAATGTGATCGGGGACTAAGGAGAACGGTAAAATGCGATGTGTCCTACTCTGCCAAGCCGTTTGCCGAAGTATCTCAAGGAGTAATCGATTTGATGAAAGCGACCCTGGGCTGAATTGGTTTGATCTGTTCGGACGTATATCTTTAATACTCCTTGATATATATATATATATACATATGTAAATTGTATACATCTATAAATACATATATATGTATATGTTGTATCTACATAAAGATATCCAACTATGAAGTCTACTAGTGGAGGAGAGGAATCTGACGGAATCTGTGTCTTTGTTTACCCAGTGGAACAGCATGAGCCAAGGACGATCAACCGTCATGTTGATGCTCGACCTAGTGCCTTTGAGTGTTTCTACAAAGTCTATTCCATGGCGAGCCCAGAAGTGAGGACAGAGCTTGAGAACAGAAGTTGCTTTCTGATTTTTCTGATTGCTCAGAAGAGAGTCTGTCCACCCTAGTCCTCCCTTGATGTGTCCAACTAACGAATGCACGCCCGAAACCTGAAACAGTTTCAGCATTCTGTGCTATCAGGAGCTCGGAGGCTTTCCAACTTAGCGACTGGGACCAAGCGCACGGAAACCATGTGTTTTATTTTGTCTTTACATCTCTTTGATGTTCGTGTACTGACTTTTGGGGCATAGATGGCATAGACATCCAACCTTTGAGGTTCGCTTGGGAGATCTTGACAGGAAGGTGAGCACTCCGCGGGGCACTGGCTCGCAAGGCACTGGCTCGTTTGGCACTGCTTCGCACGGAACTGGTTCGCACGGAACGCAAGGCACTGCTTCGCAAGGCACTGCTTCGCAAGGCACTGGCTCGCACGGCACTGCTTCGCACGGCACTGCTTCGCAAGGCACTGCTTCGCAAGGCACTGGCTCGCACGGAACTGGTTCGCATGGCAATGGCACTGGTTCGAACAGTTTGTTCCCGGGCAGCTTGGCGGAATCAGTTCGCCTGTGCAGCCCATTTTTGCATCCGGAAAGGATAAAAGACATAGTGGACACAGACACCTTGGCTTGGCACATTGATTTTTTCAGTCGCAGTCTTAAAGCCAGTTTTCTACAAACAAGGTATACATATACAATCATATACGCATATGTATGTATAAAAACATATATACATTCCATCATTTGTATATGTCATGTATACACATAATACGATGAAATCATATAAACCCTTTTACGCCTCCGGAGCATCTCAGGTATGGTTCGAGCATCTGGATCACGGCCTTCACGGACTTCACGGACATCTCGGACCTCCGGTGCGTCTCGAATATCCCGGGTATCACCGCCAGCCTCTCCAGCGGTGTCAGAGCGGACCGAGGATCAGACTGACCAATCGGCCTCACTGAATCTTTGGATGAACAATTGGATATTTTAGCCATGAAAAGATGATAAAAGATGGATTTCATGAGATATTGGATATGTATGGATATGTAACATATATAAGCAATACATAGCAACACTGTGATACATTTGGGCGCTACCAAGCGGGGACGGTTGGTTGTGGAATATTGTGGATCCCGAAGTGAATACATTTCGGGTTGGAATTCATGCGCGTTTCTATGTTGCCAGGCATTGCCATACACGCGTCAGACCAAGCATATGCTTGCAGATTTGACCTGACCCTGACCTGAAGTTCATTTGAAGTTCATTATGTTTAACATGTTAATTGATGTCAAAATGGTTGTTGAGTGTAATTGATTTCTTGTAGAAATTCAAGGGATCCTTGGAAGACCCAAATCCTTCCCGTTGGTCCGACATGGTCCAATGCTGGTCCGTTGCGGATCCCCGTTGGATCGGACCGAGCAGCGGAGCACCAAGGGGTGACTCTCAAAAGTCCGAAGCACGTGATGATTCGGTGGGGCCATCGCCAAGAGCACGTTCGAGCTCTGGCAGTGCCTTCAGCAGAGATCCGCAGAGATCCGCTTGGACTGTTCCATCTGATTCCATTTTTTCATCATTTTCATCTGCTCCGGTTTTGGACTGTTTTGGTGATGGAAGAGGATTCCTGGATGGAATCCTGGAAAAGGCATAAGATGTGGAATGATGACAATTCTCGAAAGAGGTTCTTGACAAAGGCTTAGAATGGCTTGGAATGGCTTAGATGTGTTTGGATCTTCTGTTTTAACCATGTTCTGTGTTTTTCAGCTGTGAGGTATTTGGCAGCTCATCTAGGGGATCCAGGAAATACCTTTAGCTGCGATGCGACGCTTCCGCCAGCTTTTTGCCAGCAGTTGAGACCACAATTGATGTAAATCTTGATGTTTTGATGGATCAACTTTCTCAAGTTTCAAGATGTTCTCTTCTGCGCTTCCAATGGACTTCCACTGTTAGTACTGGGACCAAATGGATGTTTATCTTGATATCCTTTCTTTCTCAATCTCCAGAATTGTTTTTAAACTGGGGATGCAACTTCAAATCTGTTGAGGGCTCCCTTGGCTCTAGCACTCTAGCCTTTCTGATCTTGATATTTCTGTGATGTTTCTGGATCTGAGGCTCTCTGTAGCACTTCCTTCACCCCAGTGCGGCAAATGTGCAATGTGGTCGATCTCCCTAAGGCGAAGATCAGACTGCCATGCGAATGGAACTTTCCAATGGTCTGAAGATCGGATGGTTCAAGGACACACAACATAGCCCATAGCTAGCAATAGATGTTTCATTTTATGCTTTTAAGATCTTTTAAGACATCGTGAATCATGAGTACAATGCTGCACGGCTTGCAGTGGTTGTATAGAGAGAGTTCAACCAGCCCTGGGACCAAGACGAGACCAGGTGGCAATGGGTATGATGTCGCCAGACAATTCCGTTGTCAAGCGCTCAGCCATACTCAGTCGTTAATGTGTGAAGCTGCCGTGGCATTTTGGCAAATCAAAAGTTCAGACAAAGGCGAGTTGGTAGTTGGAGCACAAGTGTGCCAATAGCATATACCAGCAAACCACAACCCCAAACACGCGCGCGCGCGCGTGTGGTCGTGCGTATGTATGTATATATATGTATATATATATATTATGTATAAACCTGTATGTGTGTGCGTATGAAAACAATTGTAAAGAGTACAAGCCTATCCTGTATCAGCTATAAAAAAATGGATTCTGAGCACGCTTGCATCGGCATTTTCCACCGTTCCACACTCCCAAGGAGTTTAGTTCCATTGCTGAAGACCGGTCAGACACGGTTACGTTGCCAACAGTGTCTCGGCCACCATTGGGTTTGCATGTGTTGTCTTCAATCTTCAGGAACTGACTTTGAATCTTGATATATGCCAATATAACCTAATATAATCTAATAAAATTCAATACATATTAATATATATATATATATTAAAAGATCTCAACTGTTTGATATTTTTCCATATCTGTAAAAGGAACACCTGGAATGCATCCTTAAGCTTAAGGGTTTCTTTTTGGATTTTGCCACCTGACTTGTCCATCTTGATGGCAGGCAGCTGCAGAAGCACCGACCTCTTCTTCTGCAACCCTCCCTGTGCCACCTGCATCAGCACGACTGCCGGTGACGCAGCTGCAGTAGCTGGTAGCTGCTGGGGTTATCATATGGTTCTCCTAATACATCCCAGTATGTATGCGGGGGAGGGTTAAGTGTCAGTGTCGTCTAAAAATGGGGGTGGTAAATCTACACTAAACTGACCTAAATCAATGAAGATTAGACCGTACTAGTATTGAAACTAGTATTGAATCCCCATGGATTTGGGGATTATTTTGAGAAATATCGAATGAGAAGTAGGACAAACAGCATGATGGTTCAAGGATGTCAAAGGCAGAACAGCTTTGTGAAGACCAGAGTGCGATGATGGCAGTGAAAGCGAGCCAAAGATTCCTTGTATTTGGCCAAACTACATCCACAGTATGGTTTCGTATTTCCATATGTTTCCTGTGCTGATTATGGGTATTATATGTTATTAATTAATAATTTTTACCTTTATTATTTTGTTTGCACTGTTCCTGCCACCCTTCGTTGATTTGTGCCGCATAGATCCCCATCGCGCAGCCAGTCGCAGGCCGGTGCACTGGGTCGGCGCCGAATTCCTTCCTCAATGTCTGCGGCTTCCCCAGCATCGATGTCTGCGAATTCGCCAGCGGAATTTGAAATCGGAGGCGCTTCTCCATGTCGACCACTGAGATGATCTGATGACACTTCGAGTCTGACTGCGAACAGCAGATTCTGAATCGTTTGTGTCTGTTTCGGGATTTTGAGTGTTTTTGCAGCATGTACAGATCGCTGCAACTGTGAACCTCCATTGAATCTCCTGAGCAAAGAGCAGTAAGTCCTATTCTTTGACGCCTGGTTAAGTGTGGGACGGCTCAAAGAGGGAAGGGTGCCTCGATGCCATACGTTGGTGAACCGTTACGAGCCAGCGACAACATCAAATTAACACGGTAGAATCACATTCTCATCACATTCCATGTCGAAACTTTTCCAAGAGTCGATTGAAGCATATTGAAGGATCTTGAAGCCGTTGAGCTGCCGGGATCGTGGCACCCATCCTTAGCTTCCCAAGTTGCAAAGTTCGCTGCTCCTGCGATGCACTGGACCGGTGGAAGCCGTTTTTGGAACTCCAAATTTCAAGGCGCCTCAACGAGGCTTCCGATGCGACTGTCTAGTAGTAGACTGGTAGTGACGTGGAAATGCACCGCTATGTGGTGCAGCTTGAAAAAGGCGTGTGTTGCTGAAGTGTAGGTGAGGGGCCGGTGAGGCCCTTCAATGACTGGAAAAACGAAAAAGGGAACCGAACAGATGAAACCCCGAAGAACAGGGAGCAAACGGACCAAGAACATGGAAGAACGCCAGGTGAACTGCAGTTGCAATGGTGAAAGCCATTGCCCCAACCAGGGCAGCTGTCGGTCGTGGGGTTGCTCAGCAATCTCTGGCTGATTTAATGGCTGATTTCTCAGCTATTAGCTGTGTCGACTTTACAACATACGAAATCACTGAATATCACTGAGTTCTGAGATGTTCTGAGGTACATGGCCTGGCTCCGGACTCGCTATGGCGTGAAACTGCAAAGCATCAAGTGGCTATGGCTCCCCAAAGGTGCGCGACCGTAGCATGGGGCAGCATGGTGCCGCGGTAACCAGCAGCATGTCACGGTGTCCTTTGGCTCGGCGAGCAGCCTGGGGATTGTGACCAATAGCATCCAAGAGCCAGTTTCTGACTGGTTGTTCAACGTTTTTCAGTTTTTTCCATCACCAAAACATACCAAAACGAAGAACCAAAGCCAGGTAACATGATCAACATGTTCAACATGTTTCTCATACGCTTCTGGATCAAATCAGTCTATTTGAGTCCCATGGCGATTGCTGATGCCGGCATGGTGGGATCGATTCTTTGCCGCTCAGTTTGATTAAGCAGTTTCAGCCCAGCCCCAGTTGGACGTTAGGGTTGTACTCCCCCCACCTAGTCCCTATGTATTGGGGATCATCATAACATATCATAACATAACTTAACATATCATAATCCATGATCTCCGAACTCGAATCAACAAACCATCATTGGCATTTTCCACTGGGTTTAAATCAATTCATTTTTGTTTGGAAGGTCCACAGGATCCAGCAGGGTTGTCGAGGCATTGGAGCAAAGCTACAGCTATTCTTCACTGTCTATCTCCATACGAAAAGCAGGTTTAAACGATGTAACTTGGCGCAAACTGGCATATGCATGGCATCTGCACACGATGGGAAGTCCTTCATAGTTACAGCATGTTACAGCTGGTTTCTGAGGCAGACGTGCCATCTCTGACTTTGGCACTTCGAAACTTCATTGCGTGCAATGTAGATCCCAAATTGCCGCTCCACATTGAGCTACTTGTCAAAATGGGACACATCAATCAATGTTGAGTTTGAAATGATTCATGGGACTTTAATGGCTTTTATGGCTTCCAAATGGTGGCAATGTGAGCTCCGCTGCGAGTTCAGGAGCGCTCAGCAACACAACCTGCTGAGGCTGGATGCATCGGAGAACAACTTGGGGGATCAGTCGATGGCAACGTTGTTGCAGGTGCTACAAAACCCAGGCGATGCTGCGATCTGAGTTGCTGGATGCTGGTTGATGCTTGGCATTTATCCAGATCCAGAATGATCTCGCTTGCAAAGGTGCGACCTACCTTCGCAACCTGAAAATCTACAAGAATCGGGTGACCGGGCACATT